GTGTCTGGTCCACGAGTCTTATTAGCTGTTTAATCTTAGGGCTTGTATGGAGAAAGAAACACCTACTAGAAATAAGAGGCATGAAGGATACAGAGTCAGTAGTTGTTGGCCTGGGCTTACAGGCAAATAAAAGCTAATTTTTCTTCTCATTACTCTGAATATACCTGCAAATTGTGCATTTTACACAAGAACAAACATAGCAAAACACATTTTCTCACTATCAGCGTGTAAATTACTTTTATTGGCAGATGAGGAGTCACCTGCTTTGACAGCATATACTGAAGGCTAAGACTATGTTTTCTTTTCTTTGTTTTCCAAATGCCACTGAAATAATTTCTCTAGCAGAATACGAAAAGATTTCCCACAGGAACAGAAGCCAATGTTATGGTTTGAGTAGAAACTGGGTGAGCTGAAATGTTTGCCACAACTTCAACGAATGGCCTTTGAGATTTCTTCACGGCGTTCTCAGCCACTGCTCAGTGCTTCTCACATAGCCTCAGCTCACAGGGACACCACCTCCCTTGCTCTCTGGCGGTTCCCTTACTCTCACTGTTTCCCAGGGTGCCTGTGCTCCCTCAGACACCCTCCTTCACCTGCGTCTTCCCAATCTCACTGATCCATCCTCGCAGTAGTCCTCCACCTCTACAGATAATCATAAAACCATCAACGATTTAACCACCAGATTTGTATGCACTGTTGCTAGCTGCTTATAGCTGCCATGGATATGTTCCTACCAAACGATCAAACATGAACGCACACATTTGTTTTTTTCCCATATGTTCATCCTTCCCATTTTATTTAACAGCAACATCATGGTCTACTCAAACATTTACTGTCACCTTTAACTTTTTCCTCGTCTGAATCTGTGGCTAGTCCCCCCATGATTCTGTCCATCTCATCTGTCAATCTTCACTTCCATTGACTGAACAAAGCCCATTGGTCCACACTGATAAAAACTCTGAGCATCTGTGCATACCCCTCTGAATGTACTGCCAGAGATGTCTTCATAAACCATAGATTTTATCATAGAATATCTAGAACAGTGCCAACCTCTAATATGGGGACTAGTACATTTCATATGCTCAGTAAATAGATACAAATGTCTTTTTCAATCAACCAAATTCATCTACAACAGCATCCTGTGAATTTCCTGATCTCCCAGTTTACAGGCACTCATCCTCTCCTGTGTTCCCATAGCCTTCTTTCAGCTAAGAGTCTAGCACATACCCTCACGCAAATCAGTCTATTAGATATTAACTGCTTAACCTAAACACTGTTCATTGTCTTTTGAATTCCCACAGACTTTAGATAGTGAGCGTTCAATGGTTGTTTTCTAACCAGAGATTTTATAAGATAATCTATTAGTGGTACGCTTGGGATACATTGGTGACTTTATACTCAAAGGACAAATTTGGAATTTGTAATCTGGATGCAAATTTTTAATTTAATTTTGCTTTCACTTTTACTTTTTATGTTTTACATGTACGGGTGTTTTACCTGCCATCTGTATGTGTGTCTGTACTCCCACCACTGCTGTGTCTATTGCCCGTGGAGGCCAGAAGAGGACACTGGATCCTCTGGAGGTGTAGTTGTGGGTGCTGGGAATTGAACCTGGGTCTTCTGAAACGGCAGCATTTCAGAGGCCTCCCTCTAGCCCCACTGCATTTTCAGTGGGCCTCATGGCCCTGAATGGTTTATTTCTCAGAGAAGGGAAAAAGACTTTAGACTTTAAAATTTTCTGGTTTGTTAGGTAATTGCCATATAATGCAAAGAAAATGAAGATGCAAAACCCCAGCTCTTGACTCTGGTAACACTGTAAGCCCTCACAGCAGGGACACAGCGTGGGCTCACATTGGCTGGCAAGCATGTTTCATGAGATGGCAATTGCAATAAGAAGAAAACTTTATGGACGTTTTGCTGTGGTGAACATGTCTTTACACGTGTCACGCACATCATCTTTTGAACTAAAATCACTTCAGGATCTCACAGCCGGTGCTCTACTTAGAACATGGGAAGTCCCTCATTTGCTGAAGTCTCCTCCTGATAAAAGCTGTTGGAAGGTTCTGGAAGTATAAGGAGATGGGGCCCCGTAAGGGGCAGTAGACCACAGGAATTGTATCCTTGAAGGTTCCCTTAGTCCCTCTGCACATTCTGCTTCCTGCCATGATGTGAATAGCATCTCCCGTCTTACATTCCCACTTGCCATCCTGTTCCATTCTCGTACATGGGGCCAAGTAAGCAAGTAAGCATGTAAGCATGTAAGCATGTAAGCATGACAGCATGTAAGCATGGACTCAACCCACTGACACAGAGACAAAACACCCGTTCTGTCGTTGGTCATTATATCAGGTGTTGGTTACTGTTGTATAGAAATAGCAAACCTAGTGTGCAAAGAGCAAAACCCAAATTCGAACTCTTGTATTCTGGTTCATTTTGTTTCCCCATTTAAGTATATTTATAAGATAGAAACAACAGCTAAGAAGAAATAATTGCTCATCATTTCACAAAGTGCATATTAATTCATTTTTATATTTACTTGGGATGCTGAGGCAGGAGGATCATAAGATTGAGTTCAACCCAAACTAAATAATGAGATCTTATCTGAAAAAAATGGAAAACAAAGCATAAAGAGGTATATATTACCTACATCTAAAATCTATGTAGCTTTTAGAGATTATGAGATATTTCCAGGTTCTATTTCTCTATGATAAAAAGGTAGAGAGGCCCAGGCTCAGTGGCACACACTTTTAATCCCAATAATCGGAAAGCAAAATTAGGCAAATTCATAAGCTCAAGGCCACCCTGGACTGTATAGTGAGTTCCAGAACAGTCAGGGTTATATTGGGAGACCTCGTTTCAAAGCAAACAAACAAACAAACAAACAAAAACACTCAGGGGAATAAAAGTAGAGAGACAGGGCAAAAAGGAAAGAGCCACAAAGCAGCTTTATTTTGTGCTTCCTTTATGACTAAGTAGAGTTGACAACAAAACACAGTAGTACATGCCTGCACTTCCTGCAGAGACAGGAAGAATGCCACACATTTGAGGCTAGCCTGATCTATGTAGTAAGTCTCAGCAAAGCCAGGATCTCAAAAAGGCCAAGTAAATGAAGAAGGATGCTAAGGATGCTAGACACTTCTTCAACCATTCGCTGGCCATTCATAGGCTTCAGATACCCTTTTCCAGTCTCTCCTGTGACAACGGCCCAAGGATTCCTCACTAGTGACTGAAAAGGAGCTGCTGAGATCACTGGCTGTGGTGTGCCTTCTATATAGCAGGGAACTTACTGCTTCAACCCTCAAGACAGGATCACTGGGGATGTTACCAAGGATGACAGTTCCTTGTACTCCAGTCTCCAGGATCTATCTAGGCTCCAAGGTCAGGTGTGTCTCACTCCAGTTCCTTTCACTGTCTGTGTCTGTAGGAACATGGGCTGACAATATTTAGGAAATGTGACAGCTTAGCGCCAGTCCCGTGCTTCCAGGGGATGCAGATGGCGTGCTATGGCGTGGAGAAGACACGACTTCTGCAGATGTAGAGTTGTTAGAGATGGTATAGACGATGTTGTCATGAGGGAGACAAGTTCTACTAACAGCAGCCTCCAAGAGAAGGACGTTGAGTAGAAGCTAGCGGTAGGTATTTTCAGTCCACTTAAGAACTCACTTCTTTAGGGCGGGGAGACGGCTCAGCCATTAAGGTGCTTGGTGCCAAAATCGAAGGTCCTGAATCCAATCTCTAGGGCCCACATGGTGGAAAGAGAGGACTGAGACTTGCAACTTGTCCTCTGACCTCCACTCATGCCCTGTGCATGTGTATGATTACACATGTGCGCACACGCACACACACACACACACACACACGCCAAATACATAAATAAGCATAAGTAAAATAAAAAAAGAGAAATTGCCTTCTTCAAAAATGAGTCTAAAGATGCTGGTTTGTCTGGGACCCAAGTGTTTTCCAATTGCGGAGGGTATGAGTCATGAATTGGACAAACACAAGGGAGATGTGGCTATGAATGCAGTAACATTGGGCATCCAACAGTCCTGGATATACTCACACATCCGGAATACACATAGATTAAACATAAATTCCTGAAGAACTCTATCATTGAGATACTAAACTACATTGCCATGGAATTTGGATTTCCTTCACATCAATGGAAAATTGTAACAAGCAAAAGTAATTGTGTGACATAATTTGAACTGAATTAGTTTTCCCAGAACTGGAGATAGGAATAAAAGAATTGGATCTACAGAGAGTAAGATGATTAAATATATGTTTGTACAATAACTAGAATTCATGTTGGAACCCGCTAACCTCTGTACCTGTAGACACACCCATAAAGAGAGCCCAGGCCTTGCAGGACCGCAGACAGAAACAATGGGAACTGAAAATCTAAATGCTGCTAGTGGAGTGTATAGAAGGTAGTGAAATGTGTATTCAGCTTTGCATAAATCTAGTTGACCTGCGGTAAAGCAAGCAAAAATGATACAAACCACATTTTAGGATTTAACAGTTTTCCTACTACACTGTACAAACTTAGGACATTCTCACTAATCATAAATAAAATAATACATAAGCACTTGCCTATCCAACGGATGAAAACACAGTACCAGGGCAACCAAGAAACTGCTAAATATCCTCACAGGACAGGAGTAGCCAGTCCCAACACAAGAAGAAAAGTTAAGACCGAGGGAAGAATTATCGCGTGGCCTCATGGGATGCATCTCACAACCTCCAGGACATTTTGAGGTAGAGACTGAACACAATAACCATTCTCATTCCATGTCTAATTTGGGACTCTCCCAATGTGTCCATAATCCTTGGCTCTATGTTGTCTTTTTTTTTTCAAGAAACTCAAGACAAATGGCATTCAGGGTTACTGAGGGAGCGTCAGAGCCAGAAAAGATACATGTGAAGTCTGAAATGCAGGAGCCCTGCAGGGATTTATTTTCAATATGGGTATATTTATTTATATTCAGTTGGGATGTACTTACCTGCTCCTAGGGTTTTTCCTGCTCTTGAAGCACTGGTTACACAGCCCACTGAATTGTAGAAGGAGACAGTAAAGGTATAGATCCTATAAGGTCAGAGTCCCTTTATGACATAAGACAGGTCTTGGGACTTAGCAGAATGCAACAGCTTCAAAGGCAAAACAATAATAATAATCGGATAATAATCAATGCACAGCCATTAATCTTGGAATTACAAATTCCATGAATTCAGGCAGAGGGAATTATTGCCAACTCCTTTAAGGAAAGCAATTTCAAAAAAAATACCAAAAAAGTCTCAACAATACAGGGTTTAATTGATAATTGTACAACCACACTGTTTTATGAGGTAATAATGCAGTTCCTGAGTGGATAAATGAGAAAACGGAGTTATGGCCTCATAAAGCAGCATGGATGTATGGTTATTGTCACCAATGGTAGAGATAAAGATGGCTACATCCACACAGTTACCGTGAAAAAGTCCAAACGAAGCCAACAGAAACGCAGGGTGGTGATGCCACATGCTACTTGATGGCAGAGCATAGGACAATGAATGGCATGGTGCTAAATCATCCTATCATTTGCTTAAAACCTCCACAGTAGTCAAGGGGGAAGAGTGGATGCTGAGTGAACATTCCCTTAAGTCGAATCTCACTTCTTTTCCTATCCAAATAAACATGTAAATTGGACTGACAGTTACATTTTGTGAAAAATAGTCATCATCTGACATTTTCAAATGAAAGCAGAGGGTTTGAAAGAAAAACGACTGTGAGAAACAATGTAAACAATTAAACAGCCAGAGAGAATTCATACTATAAATATGACTAGAGCTAACAACAAGCAACCATGAAAATCTTGACTAATGTTGGATGTAAGTTATATTTGGGGGTGGGGAATGTCACAGAGCTAGAATTATGAATATGAAATGATTTTTCTTAGGGCTACTGACATGTATTCATGGACTATGTATGCATGGTTTAGTCAACCATGGACCAGATTGCGTATGTAATTGTGACCCTTTATAATCACAAAAGCTAAATGTTTGTACTACCTAGGCATGCTGTAGCTACTTAATGTCATGAGGCAAATGTGGTGGTAGTGCCAACATAAATTAATGGTACTATACCACCAAGACTACAAAACTATAGGACATGCAGATGTCTACAGTACAGAAGACTTGCTAATGTTAAAAAATGAGTATGGCACTGGTTGATGCATTTGCTATATTATATGTTTTACCATCAAGGTAAGATATTTGCAGTTATAAGAAAGGTTACAGTAAAAACCAGCTGAATTACATCAGCAGCAGCCCTATGGCTTGTTTTTACCATGACACCTGATAGTATCAAGAGGCCATGCAGTTACTTACATGGTTCTTAGTTTTGACATCTATATAAAATGGTACTTCACAAATAGATACAGATTCAGATGCTCACAGAGCTTAGCTACATTTCAAATAGTTCTTAGTTATTTTCCCTAAATGAGTACAAGTATACTGGAGATGTTAACCTAGGTATTGACTTCAAAAGTATATGAGCCCAAGAATTAAAGAATAGACAAAATACAACTGTGTGCCAAAACACCAATGATAAATGTGGGATGTAAGGCTCAAAGACCAAACGCCAGTCTTATTTAAACATTTACCTAAATAACAATATTACAGCAGATATGTACAGTAAACTGTCTACATTGAAAAGCATGTTATTATACCTAGATGCTGTTTTATCGTGAGATAGTTGAAAAAGTCACATGTGCAGATGAACAGGAAAGGACAATAAAGAATCATTAATTTATTATTGACTCTTTGTTTAGCCACAAAATAAATTTCTGTGTTGTGTGGGTATATATTCTGTCCACTAAGACACCTCAGAAAAAGGCAAATATGTTCATAGTGATTTAACGGGTGTCCCCTTCAAAATGCATGTCTCCCCAGAACTTAAGGGTTTTGTCTTTTGAAAAGTGGTATTTGTTGAGGAAATGAGTTAATACACCTTGTGTTTAGGATTAGCTTTCAATCTGACAGCTGGTATCTTTTTAAGAGAAATGCAAAACACCCACAGACAGAGGGAGTAGGAGTGAAGCAAACTGATGTAGTTGAAATGGGAGATATGTTGGCACGATGCAAAGGGTGCCACCAGGCACCCAGAGGGAGACGAGGGAAGCAGGACAGGACTTCCTCTTGGCTTCAGGGAAGGAACATGGCTCTCCCAGCAGCTTAGTTTTAGTCTTTGGAACCCCAGAACCTGAGAGAAGCAATGCATGCCCTGTAACCCACTCAGTTTATGGTGATTTTGAAGGTAGTGTTTGTAAACAAATAGTTCCAAGGTTGCAAATCCTGTGATCTCTACCCTGTTTGTGCCAGCTTTGTAGGATTCTGGCTGTAGAGATAGCTGGGGTACCACTGAGACTCTTTAACAGTGGTGTCACACCTCAGCTTCTTGCTCTCAACAGTGACAGACTTCCTTATACTGCCTGCAGTTGAGTACACCCTCCCTACCCCTGTATATCCTGTTTTCAAGTCTTCCACCATGTTTGGTATCTTCTGAGAAAACAGAACTACAGCAGTCCCAAAAGGCATTAGTTTCACAGGAGGGAGATGCCAAAGTATTAAAGTGGGATTCTGTAATTAGACCACCCCAGCTGGCTGACAATGAGGATCCATGTAGGTGGACTCATGGCAGCCTACAACTTTGCAATAGCAGCATAATTTTTAAACTTACATAGTGGTGCACTAAGTAACTTTAGAGAAGGTATTAAATTTTTAGGACTGTGCGATCTGATGACTGTTGCTAATGTCATGTATGTGCTAAATAAAGATAATCTTGAGGTCATCACCACTTTAAGATAAACTATACAATCCTTCTTGAAAGTATTGTTTCTCAGTGTCAATAAAATCATGTTAAATGGATCAGATAAGCACGAAACAAGTGTATGGAGATCTTAGTAAGATGTGTGTCCCAGAGAGTAGGAGATTAACTTCATAAAAGATTAAGGGATTTGAAACATCAGCTGGTGTTTTAGGAAGCCAAGTTGTCTGTGACATCTAGGACATCTATCCAGTCAAAAGTAGAAGAAAAATAACTGTATCTTGCATCCTTGAATGTGTTTTATCTTGCACCCTTCAGCAAGAAGCTCAGTGTCTAGTGAAGAGACTTCCATGTGAAGGTAAATAATCTTCATTTGGGTACTCTTCTGACCAGCATGTCAGTATAAAATTATACTACTTGATTTGTCCCAGAGCAGGAATAGTTCAGCCCCAGGCTCAGGCTGTGGTGTTGACTGACTGTTTGAGACATTAAATCTACTAGATCCAAGGGTTCTGGGGCACATAATTATGGGGAAATATGGTGACGTATTGCTGGAAAGAGAGCCACAAGATAGAAAGTATGCAGAGTAGAGGCACATAAAGTGATAGGAATTCTGGATACCATGGACTGTTTGCTTAACACTCCCAGGAGGTTATTGGGCTTTCATCATACTATAGCATCCAACAGAACATCAAATGATTACATAGTTAGAGTTACTTCCCATTGGCTGGATTTTTTTTTCAGATATGTCAAGGACTCAACTAAATTGTATCCTATGATACAAGTGGAAACCTAAGATTTGAGCTCAGTCCAAAGAATACCATGCAGATCTTGGAAATTCTCTCTAAAGCATAAAGAAAGAACACCAAAGCTGACTACACAGGAGGGTTGTCTTAGAAAACAGCTCCAAGGATAGTCTAGGTGGCTGCTGCTACACTGTCCTACCATGGTGGGTCTCAGAGGCATCAGTGAAGACAAATGTTCTCAGAGGACAGGCCTTCAGGCATTGAGCTTGCTTACTCACAATATGTAGAAGAAAAGTATCTTAAGATAAAGGACATGTGGACTGTGTGATAGAACCTTGGCCACTCTGGTCATGGACATGAGACAGGATCAGAAGATCAGCGTAGGAAACCTGGGAAACACAGAGTTAGGGGGAAACTTAGGACTCCGTCATTAGCCACGTGGTGCTCTAGAGACACATACAGATGTAGTAATGAAAGTGAGACCATGCCGCTAACCACACCCACTTTGGGCATGACTAGAGACAGGTGGTGAACTTCTCCACTAGCCAGGCCCACTTTTGGGCGTGGCTAGAGGCGTGTATGGAGGAAGGAATAAAAGACCAAGCAGCAGAGCCTCTCTCCCTCTTTTCAGCTTCTGGTTCGGTAGTGGAAAACCACTTGGCTCATCTGGGTTGCCCGTTTTCTCTTGTAATTTCAACAATAAACAGTTACCTATACCCTCAAAAAGTGTGCCGTTTATCATTGCAGCAACGACAGAGGGTACATATTGGAAAAGAAGTGTGGAGATATTATCTTATGCTAGTGTTCATCAAAAACTATGTCCCTCAGAAGTAGAAGTGAACAGCCAAGAATACAAGATGACCCATGTAGTTGATACCAGTAACTTCTCCCTGTGTACACTACCATGCCTATAAAACAGGCTAGAAAGGTAAAACACATAATCTCTACACTGCAGAGAATAAGACCCTCTTGTTTTCTAGAGTCTTTCATATCCAATGCTGGAACTTTGATGAAGTAAGGCATTTGTAACTGTTAACCCTTTATATTCTCATCACTGGCATAGATATTACTAGAAGACAAGATGTAAACATATCCAAAGGTTTGAGCAAATTCATAAGAATAATATCAATAAATTTGAGACGGGTCTCATGTAACCTGAGCAGTCTCATACTCACTAGGTAGTTGAGGGTGACCTTGAACAACAGATCTTACTGCCTTTGCCTTTCAAGTGGCTGGATTACATGCTACCATGCCTAGTTTTATGGAGTACTGAGAATCGAGCCCAGGTCTTAACACATGCTAGGCAAGCATATTATCAACAGCGTCACATTTTCAGTCCTACAGCCATGCTTTCTGCTATATTGTAATAAATTTGGTTCTCCATGTCTTTTCCCAAGGAAATGAAGACATACCCAAAATGTGCATATGAGATGGTCTTGTCAATGTCATTTTGACATCCAAATGAAAGCAATATAAATACTGACAGATTGTGGACTAGCTTAATGCACTATTATGTGTTCAAATAATATTTTCAGATTATCTCACATTGTATATAGTTGTTGAAAGTTCTTGGAAAATAGTTAAGACTAAGTGGAAACAGCAGGTCTCATGCAATAAAATTACAACCACTTTAGTTCAGCCCCCTAGAAAAATGGGTGATAAGCATATATAGAGAACCTTGAAATCTGATGTTATGCTAATGAGCATGGCCCATCTGATGAACACACATTTGGAGAGAGATTATGCTACAGAATCCTGTAAATTCAGAAAACATCAAATGAAGCCATAATTTAATTCATAAAGAAACGAGCTGAAAATAAAAATACCTTTGAACACATCACAGGAACATCTTGTTGGGGGGACTGTTCAGAAACCACGCTGATGTGGCACCCTATAATTTCTCCTCTTGCAAAGTGTTCTGCTGGCTTCTCCCAGGAGACACCGAGTGAGTGTGACAAGAGTGGAGAGACTGAAGGGGAACGTGAACACAGATGCTAACAAAGTGAAACACAAAAATCAAGCACATAGATGTCCTTCATAGAAGATTTCATTTTTCACTCTTCTAGTTTCTTCAAAGCCCTATTCTTTGTAAAATATTTTCATATTCAAAACTTAAAACATTTACAGATATATGTTACATATTCACTTAAAACTGTCATCCACAGGGATGTTTACTACTTATTATTATCAGGTAAGGCATTTTTCATTTACAAAATAAAACTCAGAATGATAGGATGGAGGGATGGCTGAGTGGGTAAGAACAGTGGATAAATAGCATGAGGAACTGAGTTCAGATCCTACACGGCACGAGGAGCTGAGTTGAGAAACCTGGGTATGACCTCAAATGTATGTATAATCCCTGGGCAGAGACAGGAGGCTCACTGTGGAGTGTTAGTAACCAGCCTAGCTGCAGGTACAATGAGAGACCTTGTCACAAGGGTGCGAGGTCTGAAGTGATAGAAGAGACACCCGATGGCTTCCTCTAGACTGTGCATGCACACAGGCATGTGCTCTTTCCTCCACTCTGTCTCTCTCTGTCTCTCTCTCTCACACACGCATACATACACACACACGATGGAAACGTTGATGAAACCCCACGTTTTCATGAAAATAGGTAGTGAGCAATTTGATAATAAATTTGAATAATACAGAAGCAGTACTTGTCACAGTCCCCAAAGCAGGAGATGTGTGATGACATACTACTAGGTTCCTCATGGAAGCCATGTTTCACTGAGCCAAACCAATGAGGCTGGGGAAAAATCACTCAACTTAGAAGTACAAAGAAAATGGAGTGATGGTCTCAAAGAAACTCATAGCCTTTTGTCAGTCCTTCCTGAAATGTTCAGGGCATAGGCACCACACACTTTACCCCCACCATCCTTAGATAGAATTTAAATGAGTTACCAAAGTTGGGTTGTCAAAGGGCTTCATTATATCTTCGCTTCCCAGTGATCCTTAACATCATGATGGTCCATGGATACTGTTTCATCTGTTATATCCCATTTCTGATCTTGGTTTACCCCTTCCAAAACTCCATGACTCATTATTTCCTCTAGTTTGTCCAAGATGGCAAGTTGTCTTTGAGAGATGGTCAAACATAATATACATTTTATTCACTCAGTGAGGCTCCTGGACATCCATACAAAGCTATCCTCAACCTTCACAGTTCCAACCTGCTAAATTTAGGGCAGGCTTTGGGTATGTGTGCACGCACGAACACACACAAACACACACACGTACACATACACGTACACACACATACACACACACACATACACACACGTACACATACACGTACACACATACACACACACACACGTAGATTCAATACACAGCAAAAGTATGCTTGTTTTCTTCAATGCTCATGGAATTGGAAGTACATTTTGTGTGAAGAATGAAATGGAAAATTAATAATAAATCAGTTACTTTAATAAAGATACCATAAGAAAACTAAACTTTTGGCTCTCCTCCCACAACTTAATTCTGTTTCTAAGCACCCTGGGGTTAGACCTTTCAATGTATTAGCTTTTGTCATTATTGTTGATAAACAATGATGAATACAAAGCAAGATTAGGGTGTCTATCCACATGACACTAGAAATCAACTGCAATTTGGGGAAAGACTCCCCCCCCACACACAGACTAGAGCTACAGTTAAGCCTTCTTCCCCCAAATGCATTAATAGCTAGATCATCTGCTCTTTCCACCTCAAATGTCTCTTTGACCTTAATTTCCAGGCAGCACTTTCACTAAGGGGTTTATAATAAGATTGCAAAACACTGATCTTTACCTGATTCTCCTGGTGTTTCTGAGGCACAAGCAGAGCACACACTGCCAATCATAGTCACAGCTAAGACCCCAAATGAATACTCTGTGTATTTCCAAGTCAGAGATGGACACGTTGACTCGAGGAGGCTGAAGTGTGTTTTCTCTCTTGTTGGCCGACTTTGAAGCTAGCTGAGGATTGAGCCAACCACTGCTCTAGAACTTGCGACTTTCTTTAGTAGATGGCCATCTCTTCATGTATAATTTATATCTTAAAATTATACCTAGAAAAGAGATAGCAAATTGAAGTGACCTACATAAAGGGGTTATTTAGGGACTAGTCACACAAGACTGCCAGCTTTTCAGTATCCTGACCATATTACCTGTTGATTCTTTTCAGTAATCTAGGTATAGAAATTTAGTGATCTGTAAGACAGGTGTACAACAAAACTGAATATAAGTTAGCATGAAGGCCGAGCTATTTGGCGGGGGACAAATCAAAAGAAGTATAAATACAAAATAACCATCATTTACTCTAGGTGAAATGAAATATTTGAGGTTGTGTACCCATAATTTATGCTAATAATGTCCAGTTCTTTTGGGGTACCTGCATACTCTACTTTCAGTTTGCATATTTTGAATATTGTAGATTCAATTACATATTTGACACAAGACATATTTGCATAAATATTGTGCAGCTGACTTGTACTCTTTAACCAAGCAACAAAAAGTTTGATGCAAAGTTTTATCATGATATATACATAACATAAATTATTAAAAACCTAGGCATGTGTGTTTGGCCTATGCACCCCAAGGTTCAATTTTTAAGAGCACAAAAATTAACTTAATGGAATCAACTAGCCTATATACAATTTTTTGTATTATTTTCTATCTTTTTCTTGCTTAAAAGAGAAAATTCACAGCTTATGGGTGCCCTAACTTGTGACTCAGTCAAATATAATGCATATTATAAGCACACAACCAATTATAAACATCATCTGTGTTGTGGCAGATGTCATTAAGAGCAAAGATAATATTAGCCTTTTAAAGAGCAATTTAATTGAAGGGAATTTGTTCTTCAATTAGATGAAATATCCTCTTCTACTATCTAGTATAAATAGTATTTAATATCTTCAGAAATCATTTAGCAAGCATATACCTTATATTCATATAAGCAAACAGAGTTCCCAGTAATACTACATAAGTCTTCATTTCTGTTTTGGTCTTCTAGAAGAGAGTTAAGTCTAGGTCTTGAATTCTTACCGTTTAGTTTTCCTGGTGGAGACCAACCTACTTGGAGTTCTGTGGAACTGGTTTTCCATATTACAGGTGGTCTCAGCCATTGGGGAGGTGCCTGGGCTGTGGTTACTATAACGGGCAAGCTGTGTAAACAGCCCCCACTAGTACATCCCTTTACAGGAAAATGGTACTGTCTGAATGGAACCAGATTCCAAATGGTAGCTGAGGTCTCCTGACCTTCATAGGAGTCATAGGACTCAGTGCTGTGCATAGGTGTGCATGATAAAACATACTTCCCTATAGGACCAGAGTGGTTTGAGAGTCCAGTCCAGGTAAGCATCACAGAGTCAGAGTCAAGTTTAAGTGTTGTTCTGAGACTTCTGGCTTTGTAGTATAAATGACAGCTATGTTCCTCATTGAACTATGCACACTGGAGGTCTTTATATAATAGGAATATGATGTGTGGGACGACAGACTAGTGTCAAATAAGTACTGCATATCTGAAATAAAAAGGGCAAATAAGATAGTCAGAATTCACAATTGCCTTATGCTCACACTATTTAACTATGTAGTACACTGATCAACTCTTTTAAATAAGGGTATGTTTGATGTTTTTACAAGGGAAACACGGCAAATGCTGGTTGCTTTTGTTATCTAGCACATTGTGAGTGAAGTGTCGAATGGAGTAAAGAACACTTAGAAGTCTATTTCTGTCCTTGTTTTGTTCTTCACACGGTCCCCTGATAGAAGTACCCAGAGGAAGTCCTTGCAATCTCTGAAACACATATTTGCTTTCAGTACAACTGCTTTGTTTGCCAAATGCTGATACATGAGTCCAACCCCCTATAAACTACCACCAAGCATCTGCCCTTTTTCCTGTCTAATACTTTGATTGGACCCTTCCTGACCTATTACAATGACATGCAACCCTATGTTCATTTTGCTGAATCTTGGAGATACTTGTCAACCACAGGGATGTTGTACAAGAGAAGTCTGAGATGAGCAGCATCTTCACGCATGAAGGACAGCGAGGTCAGGCAGAAGAAAGTAGAAAACAGAGGTTAAAAACAGACATATGTAGTGGCCATGATTAGCTGTGTGCCGGGGCACCCATTCTCTGTGGAGACAGCAGGCACATTGCAGACCTATGAAACAAAGGAATGTCAGAGAGGCTGCTGACTGCTTCTTTGTGTGATTGTGTGGGGGTCCATGGTGGCTTCTGTAACAGCAATGCTAAAGCTTTCTGCATATCTAGATGCACAAGGAGCAATAGATATCTGGAGTCTCGTTTTAATTCACAGACTTTTTGGCTTTCTGAATAGATAGGATGATGTGCTGAGAACCAGTGGACCACCATGAGATCTCTTTTGGTTGGGGCCAAGAGACTGGATGCAGGAAAGAAAAGCCCAGAATGTGATGGTGATGGAGAAGTCCTGTGTATATGTCAATAAATCACTGTTGGCCAATAGGGAAGCAAGATAGGTAGGACTAGGAGTTGAGGAAGATTCTGGGAAAGAGACACCGGCAGACATCAGGTAGCTGCCAGAGGTCCAGACCCTTTCTCCGGTAAGAGAGATACTTAGATTAACAATTATGGGTTAAATGCTTAAGTCAGAGCTAGCCAGTAAGAAACCAAGCAAACGGCCAACAGCTTCATAATTAATATAGCCTCCTGTGTATTCATTTGGGATTGATGTGGCTCTGGAACCAGGTTGGCAGGAAGACAACACTCTACATATGGTTGTCAGGAGTGGAATTGAATTTCCATGTAGAATGACAAAAACTTAAAAGGAATTTTAGAAACAAAAGAATGGAGAGAAGCACAGCTTCTTGGTAGCAGCATTTTTCTCAGGTGGGCTCTGTTTTGCCAGAGACAAGCAGAAACTCATGTGGCTCACTTAAGGGAGTCTTCCTGACTCAGCATAAGCAAACAAAAAACAAAAAACAAAAAACCAGCAAGGTTCATTTAAGAGGCTCTGCTAACGATTGAAAGGTGTGTACGTATAGCTGGAAGTGGCAGTGACCACATCTCCAAGCCGGCAGCTTCTTTTGCTGGATGTCAGCATCAACTGAGGCGGTAAGCTGGAGTCAAACTTACACCTGCCATCTTGGAAAAACTGCAGTTTAAACAGCCATGGTTTTTAGCAGATAAGACACGTGGCCAGAAAAACATAAAGATTTACAGTAAACTCAGATTCAGATGAAGAAAAACCTCTAAAGGTTTACAGTGTGTTTAAAAATATACGTAGGATTGGGAGAGAAAAAGTGGTAAATGAATAGAAAAGCCAGGGCTGTGGTGGCACACACCGGTAGGATTTGCTCCAGAGGCAGAGAGGTAGGTGGATTTCCAGAGAAACCCTGTCTCAGAAAATAAACAAATAAAAGTAAAAGAAATGAGTAATATAAGCCACGTAAAGATGGAAAATACACAGAAATTCTGGATACTGTAAGCTATTGTGTTGTTCAGTTGTTCAGTGACTAAGGAATGAACAACTGCTAAAATATCCTTGATTATAAATGCTGCTGAATTAATCCAACTTATATATTTCAAAAATGCTTTGACTTCTAATTTTAAATATAAGGACAGGTTACTTGGGAACAGAGTTTTTTTTAATGTTTCCACATAAAATAGAAAGCTGTGGATTCCTTCCAGGCTTCTGTGGTTTGATGAACCATTACCCCTGGAAGCAGTGGGCATGTGTTCCAACAATTAAGGTAGCTAAGATGATGCAGCCTTACAGACCACAAAAATAAGGACTTCTATAGGCTTCTGTGTTTTGTCATAATCCCCATGGTATGAACAGCGACCCCTTCAGCAGGAAGCAGTTTGGAATGAGCAACATCCAAATTCCCATATTGTTTATAAATCTTTGTTTTCATTTGAATGTGGTTGCTTATAATTGGCTAATGCTCATAATCAATTTCTTTTTAATGGTAAAAAGGGGATTATGGTATGGAAATGAATACTTGGTATGGGTATGGTTTATCATTTATTGATACAAATTCAAGGTCAATTTTGTGATATGTATATTTCTCCTCTTGATTAAGTATTGTGCTTATACTGATCTTCTAAAATATAATACATAATAAAATACAGATATAGATAGTTACCTATTATAGTCAGAACTTATAGTTAGGTTAGGTTTTCTAGATATACAGAAATATATTTGAGATAGATAGTCTTCAAACCTTTCAAAGACCTTCAGAAAATGGCATTTAAAATGGTTTTGGGCTTTTCTTAACAATGAGAAATGTCTGCTCCTGACAGCACCAGTTATGTCTGAGAGGAAGATAGGCATCCAAGAAACTCGTTATGGAGTTTGCTTTCAACATGGCAAGTTAGCCATTTGGGCAAGAAATGCTCTTGCCTAGACTGTTTGACTCTTGCTGTATGAACTGGACATGCAGGACCCACAGGAAAGTGACTGCTGAACTCAAACAGTCCTTCAGGGTTCTTGATTCATGGAAGAGTCTATCAGACTTTCTGCAGGACACAGAAAAATAACTGACAGACTGCCAGTGCAGATGGACAGTTTGAAATTTCCTGCTTTGCTGAGAAGTGTTCCAGACACACTGTGGCCTATGGGCTGAAGATGGATGCCCCAACATTACAGAGGAACTTTGGGTGACTGTCCAGGCAGCAAGATGTATCTGTCAATTCTAGGGTTTATATATTATCCTTCTGTGGTCTTTGATGGAGTTGAAGACAAATAGTTATAATTACAGTTTTCCTTAGTTTTGATAAAAGATAAGATATAAGACTTTAGACTCACACAGATAGGATAGATACTAAAATACTTCCTTTAAATCTTACTAAATGTTAATGGACAAAATATTGTAACTATGTTCTTACTTGATAACTGTTCTGTTATATATAATTTGACTATGTTAAAGTTAAAACCTGCCTTTTTATTTAGACAGAAAAGAGGAAATGATGGGGAAGTCCTGTGCATATGTCAATAAAGCACTGTTGACCAATAGGGAAGCAAGATAGGTGGGACTAGGAGTTGAGGAGGATTCTGGGAAGTAGAGACATAGGCAGATATCATGTAGCTGCCATAGAAGTAAGAGGTTTGGACCCTTTCTCCATTAAGAGAAATACTTAGATTAACAATTATGGGTTAGCCAGTAAGAAACCAAGCAAATGGCCAACAGCTAATAATTAATATAGTGTCCTGTGTGTTATTTGGGGACTGCAACTGTGGCAGAGCCCAGGTGGCTGGCGGGGAAAAACCAAAGTGGCAGGCAAGGAAGGCTACACTCTACATGGTGGAGTGTTCACAAGAACCTGCCTGCTGTAGAATAAGCAGCCTCACCTGAAGTTGGTGTCATGGGGATGCCAAGGATGAAACTGGTCCACTGTACTTCAACAAGCCAGTAATCTCAGGGGAAAGTTCTACTAAATGCCAGGGAGAAATTATCCACCCTTAAATGCCATTTAGCATGGCAGTTGAGGGATGAGAGAGAGTGGCGGGCTTAGCAGTCGAAGTGGGGGCCTGAGCGGAAGTGGTTTCACTATTCTGTGCACACATCACTGTAATTTTGTCACAGAAACAACCATCACACAAACATCCCATGTGCTCTGCTGAGCAAGGATGTGCAGCATCCTCTGCAGAAATAAAGGATTAGGCAGACAGAGAAACACACCCCATCCAGGGGAGTTCCCTAGAGCCGGGATGCTACTCCCCTGGTAAGGTGCCACCATAGCCCTTGAATGGATGTGAGGACTCTGTAATGACAAAACTCCCCAAGTACCTGCTTCTGTTGGCACCCAAGGAGGAGATTTATCCCAAGGGTCCCAGGGAGATGACCCCTGTGTCAAGTACTTGCCAGATCATTGTATTTTCAAATTATATGACCGTATGTCCAAGGCAATGTGTACAGAACAGTGTTGCTGGGTAAGAAGTAACCGGCCTGCAGTTTCCTGTGGGAAGACTTACTTAAACCCCACCCAACGCCCACAGTATCTTGCAGGAGAAAGAGATTATAAGGTTCACATCAATAGCAAATTGGGAAGAAGGACTTTGCCATGAGGCCACACCTGCCTACTGACTTCTCTGTTTTCTGCTCTGAGTCCCTGATGAGGATGGGCGTGTCCTCCCATCTGAATTTTTTTAATCAGTATTTGTTATTGGCACTTTCATCCATAGTACAACGTTTTCATCCCTTTCCTCTCTTATGTCTATACCACCTCACTCTGTCCCCTGTCCCGATTTTTCCTTCTCAAATGCACTCTTGTCCTATCTCCAATCTTTTACAAAACACCTGCATCCTCCATGTGAGAGAAGCATCTAGTCAGGCTTGGTCCACTCATTATCATGATTTCCCCTCCATCTTCCTCTAGTTTGTAAAGGAAAATTGTATTCTTCCTGATGGATAAATAATATTTCACCATGCAAAAAATAATTTTCCTTAAACATTCTTCCTTCAATGCGTACCTATGAGATTGCCTATCATGGTCACCAAGAATAATATAGCAATGATCATTGGTACACATGGATCAGTGATAAGATAACTGTTAATTCATCTTCTTAAGATTTATTTGTATTTTTAATTATGTGCATTTGCATGTGTATGTGTCTAAGTATGTGCACATGAAATTAGTTGCCTGTGGAAGTCCAAAGTAGTCAGATACACTGGAGAAGGAGTTATACGTGGTTGTGATCCATCAGCAGAGGTCCTGGGAACCAAACTCAGGTCCTCTACAAACACAATGCATGCTATTAAGCACTTAACTACCTCTCCAATCCCACAGATAGGTTTATTTTGTTGTTGTTCTGCTATAGCTCAAACCTAGGACCTTCATCATACTAGGCAAACTTGCTATCACTGGGCTATATTTCTCAACACCTTACTCAGTTCCTGGAGTTGAATATGTATTTCATCAGCAAGGATGATGACTTTCAGCTTTAGATTTCATCTCTTTATTACAGCTAGTATTCCTTTGTTTTCATAGTCAATATATAACATATAGCATATATCAAACGTGTTTGGGAGACAACACTATTAATATATGCATGTGCATACAGAACTTACTGAGCATGTCCTAAATACGAAATGCTACATAAAGGGTGTTGCTTTTCTCAGATAATAGTGCTCTTTACATTTGATGTAGAAGAGGCGTAGAAAGTCAGATTGCAGGGGTGTGGGCTCTGCAAAGGGCTGAGTTGGTAGGAGTCTTAAGTGCCAACTTGGGGGCTGGGGAGATGGCTTAATGGTTAAATTCCTGCTGAAAAAGCATGAGGACTGGAATTCACATCCCCTGTATTCATGCAAATGCCAGTATATGATGCTTGCCTGTAATGCCAGTTTCATAAGGCTGAGCAGTGGTTTCCCAGAGTACACTGGGAAGTGTTGGGTTTGGCTGAGAGACCAAGTGAGTGTATAATGGGGCTCTGTATGCTCATGCACACGGGTGCACCCATCTATACATATAATATATATGTATGTATATATATGCACATACCATAAACAGATACTCTCTCCATCTCTCTCACAAATGAAAGCTACAATAAATGAAAAACAAATAACTCAACAACATACTCTCCTGTTCTCACAGCATGTGAGATGTCTATCAGTTACATTTTATTTAGGAAACAACTGAATATACTACAGCTTAGTTACTACCTTTATGCAGAAACTTTCAAATTATCCCACATAATGAATGTGGCTGGTGGTTGGTTTTAATGTCAACTAATACAGTGTGTTATTACCAAAGAGAAGTCATTCAGAAGCTTTAAAGATGGTAATATAGAGGTGTAGGATGATGGTAAGAAAACACCGTCTGAGAGCATCCCTTAGGACTCCGGGCTAGCCAGCGGAAGTTTCTATACTAATGAGGAATCCTATAATGGTCTCGACTAAATGATCAAACTTGCTTGCAAGACAACACTATTAATTTTCTTTGAAAAGTTCAGTGATTCTCCACCTATAATTCCAACTGCCTTCATTTAACCCACAGATTTGTGTTCGTTCAGCTGAATAGAAATAGTGTTTCCTTTCCGTGTTATTCATGCTACCCAGGCACTGAAGCCAGAGCAATAAACTCAGAGTATTATTAGACTCTGCAAAGTTCTGATGGTGCTCACCGATTGCTCCCACCTTCCAAATGCCATCATGCAGATAACATTCACATCATTAATTACAGTGGTTGTCGACAAATGCCAGATGTGGCACTTTTAATGAAAAGTAATGTTTTAGGAAATGATTCCTTATTTAGTAGGATTGTAGATGTGTCTGATTAGTGAACGAGGACATATTTATTAGCCAAGAAACCATTGTTTGGATTTTACGTTAGTACAGTTACACAAAAAGCCCTGGTGCTGTGTTCCTTTCTACGTGCCATTTTACCAAGTAGATCACAATATGCTACTGGGAGGAACATGCGTTGAGTGGACCACTGATGGGTTCAAATTAAATTCAAGGCTGCTTGGAAAATGGAGCCTGTCTGTTTGCATCTTCAGAGATAATTCAACCAGTAGTCCTGTCAGCTCAAAAACCATTTGCAATATTTTTATAACTCCCTCCTTCCTCTGTTGCTAAAGTTTAAGTTTCAGAACACCTGGATCCCACTGACTTTTGGAAGAAAATAGACATTTTAGTAGCAGGTTTTTTGGATACTTTGCCAACATGGCAGATGTGGACAGATGTTTGCTTCCCATCCTACCCTGCATCGTGAGGTTCAGAATTTCCATTAACTCCACAGAAGACTAGAAACAGGGAAGGGAGGTTTAGCGTGAAGAGAAAGTGGAGGACACAATAACAAGTAGATGCAAGGCATACATGACTAGATCATGTTTGGAATGCAATCTGCAGATATAATTGATAAAAAAAGTGTATGTCATCTATTCAGGAGCTTTGAGGTCAGCCAGTATGTTATACCTGGCTTTTTTCCATCCATGTTAAAGAAGGCTTTAACTTCAATTTGCATGCGTTTAAAGCTGGCTATTTACGTGACATGGGAATCGGAGGCCACGTGAGATAGCAATGCAGGCAAAAATGCTGGTTGATCAAGACTAACAATCTGAGGTAGGTACCTAGGAAGAGAGGGCCACTTCTGCAAACGCCGTTGCTCCAGACGCTGCATATGTGCCAGGGCACGCATGCGTACACAATAATAAGGACACCACACGTTTTAAAGAGAAGGAGCACTAAAGAGAATGAAATGGTAGCTTCAGGGGCTCCCATGACGCTAAAGGTCTCCTAAAGTAGTTTTCTAAAACAGTTTGTGGTTAAACAGGAAGTAGAGGCAGACAGAGCTGTAAGTCTACAAACCAGCAAACAAACAAACAAACAAAAAACGCTTCAGTGCATCTTTAAGGATGCCATATTTAAGGCATCTGAGTACATTAAAAACAACAGCAACAGTAGTTTGCTGAAAGTTTGACATCGGCAATCTCATTTAATGACTTGACAAAAGTTACTGAGCCCAAACAGCTTTCCTGCTTGCTGGTGTTACTATCCTCTCTCGTAGTTTAAGCATGTGGCACCGTGCTGCATCTGTCTGTGTGAATGGGGCAACATTTATGTGGAGCCACGTTACATGAATCGCTATCAGTATCATGGTTCAGATATCAAAATCTGCACGACCTCAGAATTCAAAAACATGATCTGGGCACTGGCATATATGCTTATAAATTCAGGACTTCAGTGACAACTGGGGAAACAAGAGACCCTGTCCTTAAGGACCTAGAAAAGGCTAGAATTGAAACTCTTGATGAATTTCTGTAATATTTACATCCAGAGGAACCTGTAGGCTACTTGATGCCATACTTTCAGCCTTTGGATTAAAATGCAACAATTTCTCCCATCAGAATTTCATAGTTTTCCTGCATTGATTTGCAAAACACATTTTTTCATAGCCTGTAAAATGTTTAACAGGGTACTAGGATTAATTATGTTTTGTAGATACCACTCTGAAAGGCTGTTGGATCTCTGAATCGTTTCCAGCATTTTAATACTACAAACCACATAGGGATGGACATGGGATTTTGTGTACATTTATAGCTTTTTTATTTGAGATAATATTTCTATGTTAAGTGTGATGAGTCCAATGACACATGACAACAAGGAAAGATATTTCATGTATTTTAACAATTTCCTGTGTACAAAACAGTGAACCAGTACAATGTCTATGAAGTCCGGTAGTGTTCTAGTTTTAATACACCAATCATAATGGGTGGAGACACTGCTTTCTTCCCAGGAAATTCAATAATCATCTCACCAAACACTATACATCTTATTTTCATTGTGTTTTATGATCCCTAGTGAGATTTGTAATTCTCTGTATGGCATGCTTTTTGCTCACAGAGAGAACTATGACATTTGTCCTCAAGGACAGAGAATTTAACTTACACCCATTTTCAGAACACCACAGCTTTCTATTACCCAATCTGAGAACTTACGGTATGGGAGTTGATCTTCAGTTGTGAGCAGAGTGTAAGACAGCCAGTGGGCATTTGGAAAAACAGATGGACTCCAGGAGAGATTGATGGAGGAAGAACTCTGAACCGGTCCTCTGGGTGGAGGTTGATAGAATGCAGCTAAATTTCAATGGAGAGAGCATATATTAACAAAAGCAATCGATGAACACACCAGTAAACTGAAGTAAGATGCCCAGCAAAGAGGTCCTTCTGATTCAGTGTCATTTTATCAAGAAGACATGTGGTTTACCAAGACACTAATAAACAAAGGGTATGCATCACCAATTCTCTAAGACAAAGCTTCTTATCTACAAGCATAAGACACATGTGTAGGTCAAAGAACCTGACATAAATATGGTTAGGGGAAAACCACAGGGTATTCAAACATTTCTGCACCACAATTAAAAAAATCTCATGGATATATAACATTTATTTTTCTATTGAATCTAAAAATTGACACAGGTCCCGTTGAAACTTGATATTTAAATGGCATACTTCTACTAAGTACAAAGTCTTACTTTACTGCAAAGGACATAATTTCAGGGACTAATGTTTGCTGATATAAATGGATATGACTGTCAAAAATCTAAACAATGTTATGAGTTCAAGCCCAACCTGATCTACAAAGCAAGTTCTAGGACAGCCAGAGCTGTTACATAGAGAAACCTTGTTTCCAAAAACCAAACCAAACACACAAAAGCAATCTAAACATTGTCAAATGTGAATCCATGAATCTGTGTGCAACTAGGCCAATACTTGTGAAGGGTGCTTTTATGTTTAGATTGCTTATCCTGCATATAGGAACATTCATTCAATTGTACCAAAATATAAAAATTGACTCTGGAAACCCTGTCTTTTGCCACCACCAATTTTCCTGTCTTCTAGAGGAATCTTCCAGTTTTTGAGTGTGAGCTTTGTTATTTCCCCAGAGTACACAGAAGCAAAAAAGGAAAAGAAATCTGAGAAAACAACTTCCAAGGTTCAAGCTCCACTCACTTTTAGAGAGGTGACCTAGCCAAACTTGCCACTAACTGAGATGTCCACACAGTTATACAACTGACTTTCAGAACCACAATCGTTTTGTCAGGAGATATTAAAAAAGTGCAAAGAACTGAAACCATTAAAATAGTTACAGATACTTGATATAAAATATCTTAAGTCATCTGATGAACCTCTCAGGGTCTCAAGGTAAAAGACTTAATTGCATTCAAAATGTATGTAATGTATTGTATTTTCTTTTAAAAGGCATAGCAACTCAGGATATGGTCACAGACAAACACTTGCAGGTAACAACATATTGGTCTCACGTCTCTTCTGTTAACAGAATTCCTAAAAGTCTTGTTTTCATACAGTCATGAATAAAGCTTTCTCTTGATTTTGTTTTCAAGTTAATATACTTAAATGCAACTGAGCAATGAATGGCTAAAAAGTGAATATATGTATTTGCATGCACACATACATACACACACACACACATGCGCGCACACACACACACACACACACACACACACACACACACACACACACACGTCTGGTTGACATTCATACATAGACGTTTAGGACAAGCTATAATTCACCAGGAAGCAATACAAAGACAACTATTTAATTCCCAATTGCCTTCTGCCTCTCTGATCTAGGGAGGTGACCAGGACTTGAAAGGTTGAAATTAAGTGATGGGAAAGAGGTGACTTGGCCAGCAGAGAAGCAAGAAGCCGGGGCAGGCATCACTTCTTTCCTCATGTGCAATCCTCTGTAATTTGGAAGTTACATCCCAGCATCCCACGGGGACCTCTTCCCTCTCACCACTAGTCACAGGTGAGATTGGTAAACTGGCATCAGCGTGTTTCCAGGAAATAGGAAATGCAATCACGGGGATAATCCTGTACTTACAGCCTGTGTGGAGGGAAACTGTGAGCTACTCTGGGATTTCCAGGAAAACATTTTGACACCTGTTATACGCAGACAAACAAAAGCCAGAAGCAGCTCGCAGTTTCTGTAACAGACGCCATGCTAATGTCTGTCTGTCCCCTCACAGTCTTGTGATTCCAGTTGTTCTCAATAGCTGTTATTAATATATGAAGCAAGTCGTGGATCCCACTATGCCCTGCTCTCTCCCTCCCGGTCTTCCCCCTTTCTTTCTCCTTCTCCCTCCTTCCCCACCTCCCTTAAACGTAGAGAGCGGGCTTCCAGGTATGCTCTTTTTCCAGACAAACTGACCAGCCATGACATCGGGATGTAGGGACATTCCAAGCATTCTGACTCATGACAGAGCCACAGTCCCTCGAGGAGAAAATGGACAGTGCAGTATGCTGCAGAGGGTCCTTTATCACATGTCCAGGAGCCATCTTTTAGGAATTTGGGGTAAAGCATAGGTGCATGGTCTTAGAGTAAATAGAATTGTAAATTGAAGGACTCCGGGTGACCTTCAGTGGTCAACTTGGGGCACTGCAGAGTAGTACAATGTCAGAAGACAGTGAAATGCCATATTTGGGTAAAATAAATAAAATTATAAATGTGGGATGCAGACTCATGACTAATATGGAGTATAAAGTAGCAAGAACAGAATATCAATTACAGGACTCAATACAGTGTGAAAATAATAACTATAAAATTGTAATATTAATAAACAACCCTAGATCAGTGTTCATAAAATTTTAAGCATAGGACATGAAACTTGTAAGAAATAACAAATCTTCTATTTGTTATAGTAAATTACATGAAAATACGTTTGTGAGCTAAGGTGACTAACAATTTTTTTTTTACTGTAACATCATGATTTTAACAGTCAATGTCCATATTCTGGAAAAATCTCCTCACCTGGGGGAAACTAGAAAATGTTTCTTTTGCAAGTGATTTCATTCCAACAGCCCACTGTCAATGTTTTAGTACCAGCATAATCATTCCAGAAATTTCAAGTATTTAATCAAGGAAAAGCACGCATATTTCATTTAATGTGATTAGCAAATTTGCTTTAGTTTAATTCTGCAGACTGCACCTAAGGCTTTTTAAGGAGAGTTTTAAATGAAGGAAAGCTTTGAGACCCCCTTCTCAGGTCCTGGCAAGTCACATGCCAGTACTGGATGAGAACAGACTTACTTTTGCTGCAGCGTAGTAGACTGTTGGCATCCAAGTGGGTGACTTGCACCAGGAACACAAGTGCCACACTTTGAGTCCATGACAAACTGTTTGCCGAAACACCGACCTGTGACCACATCGCAAGTTTCATTCAAGGCTCCTGCTAGACAACAATGATAAGGCTGGCATCTGAAAGAAAGACAAATAAAACATCAAGAGAAGATTGCTCAAATTAATAATTCATAGTGTATGTTGTACCTATCAGTAACATTGCGGTTGAATACAGCTTGCATTTGCGGATGTACCGAAAGGATGCTCTATCTGCACAAATGCAAGGTGAAGCAAGACAGAACAGATCTTTATCAAAATGCTGCTCCTGCTTAAATCCATGCAAAGATTCCTTTTTGTTTATGGATAAATGGGTCTCAAAAAGAAGCCCAGGGCCGGGCGGTGGTGGCGCAAGCCTTTAATCCCAGCACTCGGGAGGCAGAGGCAGGTGGATCTCTGTGAGTTCGAGGCCAGGCTGGACCAACAGCCTCCAAAACAGAGAAACCCTGTCTGGTAAAACCAAAAAAAACATAAAAGAAAAATAAAAAGAGGCCCAGGGAGATGGCTTAGTAGGTAAAACACTTGCAGAGCAAGCATGGGAACCTGGGCTTGAGTCATCAGCACCCATGTGAGAACCCACTGGGTGTCAAGTGCCTGTGACTTAGCACTTAGTGATGGACATACAAAGGTCCTGGAGCTTGTTGCCCAGGTAGTCTAGACCGATCAGTGAACGCAGATCTGATCACTGACCGTAAGATAGAGAGTGACCTCAGAAGCTGTCCAACAGTGAACTTTGTCCTCTATACACAGACACAAGCAGTCAGGAGCGTGTGTGTGAGCACGCGCATACACACACACACACACACACACACACACACACACACACACACACACACACACACTGCACTCTAGCCAGGCATGGTGGTGCACTCCTGCAATCTCAGACTGTGAGAGTCAAAGGGAGGAGGTCCGGGAGTTCCCAGTTGCAGAGTGAGTGCATTGCCAGCCTGGACTCTAAGAATCTTTGTCTCAGAAACTCCCAGAAGAGCTTTTACATGCCATGTGCATCTTCGCAATCAGCCTCAATACCAGCTATGTAATAAAATGAAAACTGTGCTTTTTTACAACGGGAGTTCTATTGTCAGCTAAATGTTTACATTGGGTACCACAGTATTATTTTTAATCTAAATATCCAGTTGCAATATAGAATCTAAGAACAAGTCACTGCTCTCCCTAAAACTCTTTAAATTCTAGAGTTCACTCCATAAAGATTAAAATTTGCTGACATAATCAGATAGGTTCTGATTAGTGTTGATGTGTAATATGAGTTATATTTATGTTTTGTGGACTGTATTAGTTACATGGTTTTTTGTTTGTTTGTTTGTTTCCGTGATAAAATATCCTCACAAAAGCTACTTAAGAGAGAAATGGTTGACTCTGGTCCCCAGTTGTAGGGGACACTCCATCGCGGCTCTGAAGTAGAGGTGGAAGAACAGGGAGAAGGAGATCATACCACAGTCACTTCCAGGAAGTAGATGCCTACTGCAGACCAGGCCCCTTCTCCATTGTACATCCAGGTCCAGACAGGGAAAGGTGCCGCCCACAGTGGGCAGGTTTTCCCATCTCAACTAACACATCAACACAATCACCTTAGCTCCCAAGAGATTCCAGGTTTTGTCTGTGTGACAATTAGCATTAACTCTCATTTATCCAGATAAGATCAGAGAAAATACAGTTACCCTGGTAATGGGGCATTTTCACTCTAATATACAAGCTCTACAAGTTCTCAGACTTAAAGTCAAATGTCATGTTAGCAGTACTAACTCCTCAGTGGTGATAGACAGGGAAACCTTTCTCCTCAGTGCAAATTATTCTCACACATGCTCTCCCCATGCATCTTATTAGGGTAAGCAGGCTGAGCACTATAAAGATTAGAGTTGTAAAAAGAGACCACTAAACAGATTTCCCTGTTTATTCTATAGAGAAACCACTGGACACTATGGCTTCACCCTACTGCAAATTTTATGGTGTGATCTCACGGGTAATCATTCAACACCCTTAAAAAGGCCGATAAAAGCTAAAGCTGCAAAATAAGCTGAAAATTTGTTTGATGGACGAATCTGCCTTTGGGAATAAATAAAGTATGGTTTCTCCTGAAAGCGACAGTATCACAGCTGTCCTCTTTATGGTTCTGATAAAAGGACTTTCTACCCCTGCAAACAACCCTGATGGTCTTCATCTAGATACATTGCACTAGAATTTCATCGGCAACAGATAGTTTTTTCAGGCAAAATATTAGAGAAGAGGAAAATTATTCACTGGAATTAAAATGGAATTATAGAGGCAATGAAATGGCTGATTTGCTCTTAATTTCATTATGTACTATCACTTATAGTATATTGTTAGTAGGCTTTTAATATATTATTAGTGAGCCTGAGCAGGCAGTCTTCTCTCTCTCTCTCTCTCTATATATATATATATATATATACATATATGTATATATGTATGTATGTATACATGTCCTGCTCATGAGTAAGCATCTCTTGAGTGCTTCAGTTTTTACTGCCATTCACTCATGAGACAGTCACACTTACTTTACATACAGTGCATTTAGAGTAATGGTTTGCAGTGTGTGACATAATTCCGTCCTTTGATGAAGCTCTGTTTCCTTCCAGCCAACTGCTACCCACATAGCTCAGAGTCAGCTATGTCAATATCCGCGGGATAGTATGTTCTGAATCCAAATGGAATAAATAAATCACTTCTTAGGAAAGCAAGCAATGTTTTGAGTAATTAAATGCATCTATTTCTGGTTTTATTGTCTCTTCTCCCAGCCACTGTTGTATCGAACATATCCGACTTATTATAACTGCTTAGTTTCAGTTGGAGAGACTTTTCCTTAAGTGAAGCTCATCAGGGCAGATTTTCTAGAATATTACAGTTTGCTACCAGTCCAAAGGACACAGGGGATAATACTGTAATTAAGGCTTAAATGAAACGATTCCTATAAATTTCTCAGCCACTCAAATACAATTTCAAACGTTTGAAGACTATTTAGCACATAAGCCACAAGTTCGAGAGTAGTTTTCTCAGATGCCCCTCCTTGGAGTACCAACCAAATGAAATATAATTCTCATTTATTAAAACAAAATTAGACACAATAAAGGAGAAGACATCTTGGGCTTAGAAGAGAGGCAACAAACTAAGATGAATTGTGATATTGATTTTGCCAAGATAAATGGTTTTCGTAATATTAATATAAAGAAACCTTTATTGCACAAACTCTCCTGGCACAGGCCGAGCTGGTCCCGCAATCTGTTTAAAATCTTCATTTTTCATCCTTATGGGAAAACCTCAGTTGCTAAATGGATTTCATAAAGAGTAATCTGTCAAGATTTATATAGATAAACAATTTGTGATGTTTATTGACCAGTTCATTATGATAAACAAAGCAGGAGGGAGGCTCTGCTCACCCTTGCCAGCACAATGCTGCTGTTCCCGCCTCTGCAAATAAGTATTTACCAGGTACACGAAGAGGATGATTGGCGTCTGTCTCTTAAATGACAAATCTCCTACATGGTGCTTCCCTGGGGGTTTCTTTTAGTTATACAAACAGCACTAAAGTCATCCTCATTACTATTATTGATAAAAACCTAACTTACGACAAAGGCAGTGTGCTTCCGTGCTCCATGCTCACAGACTTAACTAAGGACTGACACAGACAGCATCCACTGAGAGGCAGTTAGGTTCCTGATTGGGAATCCGTACTGAAAAAGTAAGGGTGAGTGTTATGAGCTGCCCCCGTCCTCAAGGAGTGCACAGGCTACCGGGAAAAACACCGGAAGCCAGCAGTAGGAACGAAGTACAGGAGGAACAACTATCCCGGGCGGGGCCTGGGGAGAGTACCAGCTGACCCACCCCCCAAGCTGAAAACGCAAAGACTGAAATGGTGCAAAGTCTACATCTTTTCATGCTGACAGGACGACTCGGGTGAAAAATCCCACATCCTGTAGAATAGGTCACTATCAGAGTACAGTAACATTTGATATATCGCACAAAATGCCTTTAGGTTGTGTAGATAGCGTGTAGGGTTGAGGAGAAAGAAAGGGAGAGAGAGGGAGATGGAGAGAGAGAGTGAGAGAGACACGAATGTTAATACGTAGGGCTGTGGAAGCCCCTGTGGGAATCAGGGGAATACACCAATTCAGGATAGCACCACCTGCCTTATTCCTCTGAGACAGGGCTTCTAACTGAACCAGAGCTCATCAATTCTTCCTGGCTGGCTGGCCAGGGGGCTCTGAGGATCCACGCATCTCGGCTCACAATGTTACACCAATTACAACCTTGTGCTGTCAGTTTTAGCTCTTGATACGGGTGCAGGGGTATTAGAACTTGGGTCTGAATGCTGGCACGATGTCATTGTTGTTTTTTGAACAGCTTGACATGCTTGGATCATTTGGGAAGAAGATACATAATTGAGAAAATGCCCCATCAGACTGGCCTGTAGACAAGTGCGAGCAACAATTCCTTGATGAGTGAGCTAGAATAAGGACGCTCCAGTATCAGCCCCAGCACAGTAAGGATGCATACACACTGCTGTGTGCTCACACACAGTTAGGATGCATACACACACTGCTGTGTGGTCACACACAGGTAGCATGAATACACACTGCTGTGTGGTCACACACACACACACACACACACACACACACACACACACACACGCACGCACGCAGTAAGAGGCATACACATTTCTGAGTGGTTGAAGTTCTACTGAATGAAACACCAGGAGAGAGGTAGGATTAGGGTGGGCAGCAGGAACAGATCAGAGGATATTGAATGCAAACACACTTCAGCTTTTTTTGTTGCCTCACTAGTTTGGCATAAGTGGGTGACTTCTGAGGAGGAAATAGCCTCCCTGTCAAGGCTGACCACAGCTGTATTTCTGAGCAGCAGAGCTCTCAACTGACTTCTAATGCAGGATGCAGTGAGGACTAGAGAGCCCTCTGTAGCAGTATGGCTTTCCCTAGGCTAACACTTTAACCTCTGGGGTGTCGATCTGGCCTTCGAGTTGCCTCGCATTCAAGCTTCTTGGTTCTCCTTTGTCACAGACTCCAAGAACATCTGTAGTCTCCTGGGGC